AGTGTGTGTGTAGGGGACCCACACATGAAAACCACACTCATTCTACAGTGTTACAGGTCTAGAGGAAGGACTGCTGTGATTTTGACTCTGTCCTTCCGTGAAAGGAAAAGAAATGCACACAAAGCATCATCGCTGATCATGCATGTGCATTTCATGCTTTGAAAACATCTGTTTTCGTGTGATGTATTCATCACTACTGTTTATTCTGATGATTAAACGTGTCACTAAGCTCACATTATCTACAGACGGATACATAGGTGAAGGGTTTTTGACGAGTGAGTTGTGATAGCTGTGAAATCATCAAATAAATTGAACATTATATGTGACCCTGGACCACAAAACCAGTCATAAGGGTCAATTTTTTAAAATTGAGATGTATACATCAACTGCAAACCAGTGTTGTTACTGTTAACTAAAACTACTAAAAATCATTTCCGTTAACTGAAATGAAAATGATATAAATATTAAACTTAAACGGAAATTAGAAAATAAGCTGAAGTACTAAAATAATTAAAAATAAAAAACTGAAAATGTAAATATTTTTTTAAATATGTGACCCTGGAGCACAAAACCAGTCTTAAGTGTCAATTTTTGAAATTGAGATTTATGCTGAAGAAATAATCTTTCCATTGATGTATGGTTTGTTAGGATAGGACAATATTTGGCTGAGATACAAAAAAAATTTAAAATATTTTTATAATAATATAAAATATTATGAGATAAAAAAATCTAAATATTGAGAAAATCATCTTTAAAGTTGTCCAAATTAAGTTCTTAGAAATGCAGTTAATTCCCAGCTTTTTTTGTAAAAACAACTAAGTAATAGAAATCTTGCAAAAAGAGTTGAATATTAAATTGTTACATTGTAAAACTGTATTCCAGTATTGGTTACATCAGAGCTTTAAAAAAAAAACTTTAAATAATAATCATCATAAATCATAATCGTAGTACTAAATCAATAAGAAAAAAGAACATTGTTGTGAAATTATAACACTGAGCTTTTTTGTAAAGAGAACTTAAAATAATAATGAAATAATAAATAATAGAAATCTTGCTAAAAAATAAGTATTGAAAAGAGTTGAACATTAATTTGTTAAATAGTATCGCGGTATTCCAGCATTAGTTACATGAGTGCTTCATCCACACAAAAAAAATTCAAAATAATAAAAATCTTGCTGAAAATAAATAGTTAATGTCTTACCTGTTATCATTGATGTATCCATTCTGTGAGAACTGTAAATGAGTGCTTCATCCACACAAAAAAAATTCAAAATAAAAATCATCTTGCTGAAAATAAATAGTTAATGTCTTACCTGTTATCATTGATGTATCCATTCTGTGAGAACTGTAACGAAAAATTAAAAGGTATTAACATTTAACAAAATGTAAAAAAAAAAAACAGAGCAGAATAGAATAAAACGGTACAACAAAAAATTATTCTGCAATGAAAACGAATGCGCCTCACATTACAACCAAGACATTGTCTATAGAGTTCTTCTGCTTTGTCTTTCTCACAAGGCTAACATGTAAATGGATATGTAATGCATATCTCACTAAATGACCAAATTCTTAAGTTGTATTGTGTTGTCTAATTCATGTTTTATTTTATACATTGGCTTCACATCAGATTTTGTATTCCTCATTTTACATCAAATCACACAGGATATATGACTCTATATACAAACCTGCAATAATTATTACATTTAACATCCCATGCAGAATTAAAAACGTGTAAGCCAATTCACGGAGTGAACTTCATTTTACATTAAATGTGACAATAATGCCAAAATATGTGTTAGAACTAGGTCTATATCACTCATAATTTTACTAGTAAGAATAGTTTTCTATCACTTTATGGCATAATGCACACCTCTTAAAATGTAATCTAAGCATTCGAAGTTAACACTGGCTGGTACTGTACAGTAAAAAGCAAGCACACTTCAAGCGCTGCCGTCATCGTAACAGTGGTCAAATAGCTGGAACATTACACATATGTGACCCTGGAGCACAAAAGCAGTCTTAAGTCGCTGGGGTATATTTGTAGCAATAGCCAACAATACATTGTATGGGTCAAAATTATTGATTTTTCTTTTATGTTAAAAATCATTAGGATATTAAGTAAAGATTATGCTCCATGAAGATATTTAGTAAATTTCCTACCGTAAATATATCAGAACTTAATTTTTGATTAGTAATATGCATTGCTAAGAACTTCATTTAAACAACTTTAAAGATGATTTTCTCAATATTTTGATTTTTTTGCACCCTCAGATTCCAGATTTTCAAATAATTATATCTCAGTCAAATATTGTCCTATCCTAACAAACCATACATCAATGAAAAGCTTATTTAAATGATGCATAAATCTCAATTTTGAAAAATCGACACTCAATTGACACTTGGTTTTGTGGTCCAGGGTCACATTTAGGCTATATGATGAATAATTACAGATGAAATATTTTAATGCTTTAGTAGCCTATTATTGTAATATTATCACTGATTTATTTCATAGTTTTTTTTATCTTTAGGCTATTTTCAAGTGACAATTCCAGCTTTCTTGAGCAATGCTGTCAAGCGTCCCTTTGCGCCACCTGGTGGTGATTTCGATAACGAGTTGCACATGTGACTGTTTTATTTAATTATGGTACTGTACTAATTATTCCAGAACTGTTCCTCAGAAAACAAGCTGCTTTGAAACGATCTGTAGTGTGAAAACTGCTACACAAATGAATAACGAAATTGAAATCTGGCCAGAATGCATGCGCGTTGCATTTTTTTATAAGCTTGTGTTCTTACTTCTCGTGCAAAGATGCGATCTCTGACGCGCTGGTACTCCTCCTCTCGCTCCTCGATGGACTTGCTGCGGCGGCCGTCTTGCAGCGGTACCCGGATCTGAGACGCGAGACAATCAGATGCATGACCAAAATGCGATGCAAGTGTGAAACGGTGCGACACACAAACCTGATTATCGTCTTTATCCATGCTGGCATCGTCTCGCTTCAGGATGAACTTCTTCTGGAAGTCCATGTTGCGCTCATCTTTAATGTGCTCAGAGAACCTCTGCTCGGGGCTGAAACACACAGAGTCTGATTACTTTAACAGACGATGCATTATGATCACTCCCATCATCCACCGCTGTCTTACATGCGTGTGTTGCTGGTCTTGTTGATGATGACCGCTTTGCCTGTTTGGTCCACGTTGTGATCCAAGCCAAAGTAGGCAGCGACCCGATGCAGCAGCATGCGATGATATGAGGTCATTTGAGGAAACTTCTTATACTGATTACTGAAAAAACAGATGCAAAAACATTTTCCACTGCAGCACAACCCTTCACTATAATAACAGGAAAAACTGAACAGAACTGTTTAAGCAATAAATTATCCTTGAAATACATGCATATAAACAACTGTAATAGAGTGCAATGCTCACAAACCACCAAAAGGGGGCAACAAATATTAACTACACGATAAAGGAAAAAACAGCAACATGTACTATGGAAGAAAAAAGACATTCTCATATACACACTTTAATAATTTCAATTACATATTTTCATGTGAAAAAAAATCACAAATAATTTATGAGAATATTTATACATATGTAAAATATATAATTATTATTATTATTTAATTTTAATTTAACATAGATGTGGTTTATATTATAATATATAAATAATATTAAATAGAATACAAATTTAAAACAAATTTAACAAATCATTGTACAAAACATATGAAACATAATATATTTATTATTATTTTATATTTAATGTTTAATTTTATATTTATTTGACAATAATAATATAATATATAATACATAAATAATATTATACATAATATATTTTAACAAATTTAAATTGTTACAACCACACCTATTTGTATACATAAAAAATACTTAACATTTAAAGCACATGTAAAACAGATATATATAACTATTTACTATTATTATATTTAATTTATTTTAATTAAATATAAATGATATATAGACTTACTTCTCATCATTAATGAACTCCAGTATATCCTGTTCCAGCTTGAGCAGCATCATTCTGTCTCTAAAAGAGTAAAGGAGGATTTACAGCTAAAACTGATGCAGAAAAACAGAAAAACATTGCATTCAGAATCACATACTTCACTTTGTTGACGATGAGCACAAGTGAAGGTACACACATTTGCAACACATTATCATATGCAGCATGTCCTATAACTTCCTATGTTATACAGAGAATACTAATCTTGATACTACTGAACACTTAATCACATAATACTAGTGGTCGACCGATATATCGCCAAGGCCGATATATCGGCCGATATTTGGCATTTTTCAAATATCGGCATTGGCCGATAAGTTTTTCTTTTTGGCCAATGTGTTCGAGTCGGGACTTTTATTTTGACGGCGCTGAGAGCGGCAGCGCCTGAGCACTCAGTGATCACATTCTCCCTCTTGTTCGCCGTCGTCGTTAACAGTTCTGTCTAATACAGATAGAAGTCGGTCTAATCTTGCAAACTTAGTCAAATCCAGTTGTGAGATCATGTGAAGTGTGACCTGCATGATCGCGTGTTCTCTGTGTGACTTTCGGTCCGTGCAAATCGAATGCTTTAAACATTAAATTCGTGTTTTAAAATTATGCTACGCTTTATGCATTTGCGCACTGTCATATTCATGTCATTTTCACTGTGTGCTGTATGTAAAATGAGTGTTACCTTGGCTT